CCTATTCCTTCTCTTTTCTTCCTCTGTTACTTTCTGATTTATAGGGTTCACCTCATACAGCCTACTATAAAACTTTTGGAACGTGTTAGCAATGCCAGTGGTGGAATATACCAGTTCTCCGTTATCTTTAATTTTCTCTAAAAAAAGTTTTGATCTCTTTTCCTTCAATCTTTTCGTCTGATATTTTCCAGGTCTATTTCCCCACTGGTATCTTTCCTTTGCAACTCTGTTGAAGACTTTCCTTGTTTCCTGTTCCAATAGATCTTTCAGTTCCTCTCTTTTAAGGATGATCTGCTGATGTAAATCTATATCCTGATTTTTGTTTTATTTACCTGTTCTAACTTACATAACTCTTCCATCACTACCTTTATTTTCCTCTCTCGATCTTTCTTTTTTTTCTCCCTGCAGCTATCAAGATTCCCCTCATATAGGTCTTATGTGCCTACCATATAGTAGCCACAGATACTTCCTCAATTTAATTTAGAGCAAAAAATTGTTCTAACTCTTCCCTTAACTTTTCTCTATTTCGGGATCTTGTATGTTTTTCATTTATTCTCCACACAGCCCTCTTATTCCCCTCACCTCCTAGCCATACTCTCACTGTGACAGGAGCGTGGTCCGAGATAGACATAACCTCTATGTCAGATTTAACCAGAGATTCCAATTGTCTATACTCTAGTAATATATAATCCAATCGTGAAGATGATCTGTGCGCAGAAGAAAAGAAGGTATAATCTCTTTCTCTATGGTGTTTCACTCTCCATAGATCTATTAATTGATTTAGATGTAACCTCCTTTTCAACATTTTTAATTTTCTACCTCCCTCTCTCCGCGCACTCAAAGACACATCCATCCATGGATCCAAACAAAAATTAAAATCTCCTGCCACGATCAAACTGCCTCTCTTAAAGTTCATAATTTTCCCAAGCACTTCTTGAATAAATACTTCAGGATTTCTGTTTGGGCAATAGATATTAACCAATGTATATTTTTGTCCCTGCATTTTCCTTCCTAAACCTAGATACCGACCTTCTGGGTCTACCAATTTCTCCTCAACCTCAAAACCTATATTTTTTGAGAAACCAATTGCTACCTCTGTAGTCCTCTTTATTGGTGAATTCGCATAATGCCAGGATGGATAGTACCTCGAATATAGCTTGACAGTGGAATCATAAGATAGGTAAGTCTCTTGTAAAAATACCACATCTATAGAATGTTGGTGTGCTTCCCTCAGTGTCTTTTGTCTTTTAGTCGGAGAATTTAGACCTTTTGCATTAGAAGTCATAATAATAATCAAACTCATGTCTATTTACTATTTCTATTCCCCTCTACATTTCCATTTACAGATAGGAAGACACAGGCTATTCAAGTCATGGACAGCTACTCTACACCTTTCTCATTGGGCTCCTCTGACCACCCAGCAATAACCATATTCTGTGGGGTTTTTACCCCTCCACCCTTAGCGGATCTATTCTTCATATTGATTAAGCTTATCTACTGATTTTCTGTTCACAGGCGATATTGTCACATCTATAGCAGGCCCCCCCTCCCTGTTTTTGTTTTTATTTTCTTCCCAGGGCAATCTGAGGGCCTATTCACAACAATGTGTTTTATAGCAAAGAATCATATGCGTTAGTGAACTGCCATTCGTTTTCAATAGCATTACAACATACTAAAGCAGCACATCTGCAGTGCAGAACACAGTAATGCACTACCATGCATTGCAGTTGTCTGTGTTACAAAACATTGTGCATGTCTGATTCATGGCCAATAGCGGTGCGGATGGCAGTGGGTGGTTCCATAGCTGCTATTCTGTCCAGTAGCAGCTTTAGAATCTGCGCACTGTCTATCACAGGCAAGGTGGACCTAATGAGAAGCTAGTCTCAGAGTACCCCATCAAGGTGCACCCACCTGACAACTTAAATTCACTTGCTCAACACTGGAAAGACAGGCAAAACCTCTGCCCATTAGCAAGGCTTGTTTTTTTTGCTAGTATCTAAAGCTAACCAATTTTGATTTAGTAGTTTGGGGCCAGTTGGCTTGTTGCTGTGTTGCCCTCCCCTCATATTCATTGCTTTGGGACATCCCTATCAAGATTCCATCATCAAAAATGATCTGCGTACTATGATGTACGATAAACAAAATGGGATTTTGGTTTACCTGTAAAATCCTTTTCTTGGATTACATCATGGAACACAGAGACCCAGCTCCTCTTCTTTTGTGGTTCAAGGCTTGCTACAAAAATTGAAGCCTTGGCTAAAGGGGGGGGGGGGGTTATGCCGGAGAAGGAACTTTCTGTCATCTTTTTCTTTGCAAGTATCCATTCACCTGAAGACGACAGCATAACCCTACCTTAATGGCTTAAGATGCTCAGTGTCCCATGCTGTATTCCAAGAAAATGTTTTTACAGGTAAACCAAAGACCATTTTTAAAGACTCTAGTTCTTTATTTCATGTAAGCGGGACCCATAAATCCTATTTTCAGCCATGACCCACACATTGGCTGGTATTTATAAAGTATAGGATGAAAAGTGTTCTTTATCCAGTGAAAGCTTCTTGTTACATAAACACATCTAAAATAACAATTACCACTGAAGCTCAGGATTTCACATCAAATACTGCTGGGCTAAGATAACACATTACTTATATACATTTTGCATGCATTAAACTAATCTAAGCTGTGCCAAAAGACTATAAACGCAGAGGTTGTGGAAACAACCAAATCTGTCTAAATTGGCCCTAGTATGTGTATGTATGAATGTAAGTTAGGGACTTTAGATTGTACGCCCCTTGAGGGTTAGCGACTGATGTGAATGTACAATATATATGTAAAGCACTGCGTAAATTGACAGCGCTATATAAGTACCTGAAATAAATAAATCGTTCAAAGCTCCAGAATGTTGATCAGGAGTCGATATCCCCTGTCCTCCAAGTCCCCTGCACTGACAAGGTGTCCAGGATTCCTCCGCAGCCTCACAGGCTGGCAAGTGTTGTGTTGATCTTTCAATTGAACAAAAGGAAGGATTTCACCAGCTCCAGAGCTGGATTCCTGAGCTACCAGGCCAGAGACAAGCAGGTCTTTGGTGTCTAATTAATTTATTTGTTTCACAAAGACATGATGTTGAATTGTAGGTGTCTGGAATGCCATGAAAGAGGCTAAAATGCACCCTATAACTCTCATGTGAAGAGTCAGTTGACTCTTGGACTTAAAGCAAAACTAAACCCATCAATTGAACGGTTCACCAAAACAGTTACATTCAAGGTATGCAGTGAATGATAAGGTCACAGGTGTTTATGCTCTAAACACAATGGCCAAGCCACCTAATGACTAATGTCATAACTGATCACATGTGCAGCACCATGGCAACTGCACATCAAACAGAGGCTAAGATAGCAGCTTCCTTAGCTGTAAAGAATAGTAGGTTTTTAGTTCTACTTTAAGTCTGGGAAGAGAGGGTTTGAATCTTTTCTTCGGGTCTGGTATGGATTTTGAGGGGAAGCCCCACACAGAAAAAAAAAAATGGTGTTGGGTTCTCCCCCCAAATCCCTACCAGATCCTTATCCGAGCATGCAGCTCGGCAGGTCAGGCTACTTCAGGGTAACATTCTTTTATTAAAGGACTTGTCAAAGAATGACTTCTGTCTTTTTTTCATACTACAGCTTTTTTTGTGAATGGGTAGCGGTATCATGTACCCCATATTCATTCACGGGGAGGGATCTGGGGGACTCCCCCTACCCCAAAGCACTCCCATGTTGAGGGCATGTGGCCTAGTATGGTTCAGGAGGGGGGGGCACACTCGTCCTCGCTCGCCCCCCTCCCCCTTTCCTGACAGGCTACATGCTTGGATAAGGGTCTGGTATGGATTTTGGGTGGAACCCCACGCCATTTTTTTTTTATTTTGGCATGGGCTTCCCCTCAAGATCCATAGCAGACCCGAAGGGCTTGGTATGAATGGGAAGGGGGGATCCCAGACCGTTTTTTTCTATTTTTTAATTGCCGGCAATTCTTTCACATGCAGCTGTCAGTAGGAATCCTGCTGACAGCTGAAACAGTAATGCATGCTTTTCACTACTAAAATACCGCATGACTTGATAAAATAACTCATGCGGTATTTTAGTAGCCTTGTTTAGTGAACTTACTATTTTTCAGTGCATTCGGGTAGGTTTCCTGAGGTTATCTTTTAAAAAGCTTCTAAAAGCAAACATGCATAAACATGTTATGCAAACGCAGCTAAACTGACAGTTTTTAACCTATGTTTCCAGCAGTCAGTTTCCATCGTTCAGCAGAGTTTTCCAAATACGTGTACATAAGCCCTTAGGTAAAAATAATAAATGCACAATTTTTTGCAGGGAAAGCATTGCACCAGTGATCAGTAGATCACTGATGCCATACAGGTTTCTTGCATACCTTTCAGAATATCTGCTTGCAATACGGGATGTAAGAGCAAGCAGATATTCTGACAGGAAGCTGACAGCGCCGTGGTAGTTCATTCAAAACTACAAGCTGACAGCAGCTAAAGGCTGTTGGGACTTGCAGTTCATTTATTCACGGAGGTCCGTGAATGAATGATGCGACCGTGTGGGCAGAGCCAGTTTTCAAATCTGACAGTACGGGAAGACTTCTCCCCATACTACCAGAGAGAGGGGGGGGCGGAAGCTATGGGAACATGCTACATGTTCCACCTTAAAAACAGGTGGAACATGTAACATTTTTCCAAAGGTGAACTTATCCTTTAACAACATGAAAAAGCAGCACAAGCATCTTAGGCTGATATACAAGTTTTTTTTATAGTAAACAGATATAAAATAAACAAACAATCTACTACAAAACCAATTTCTGTTGCACATGGCAGACTAAGTACAAAAAAAAACACAAGCCTATTTTGAAAAGTACTTGATTGATGGCAGTTCACCATCTTTGTTAGTTCTACAAGTAGTTTTACCAGGGCAGTAGAGTTGTTGAAGTCAAGCCCACAATAATAGTAATGATTGACCTCAGCTCTACAGACCAAGATCAAAATCGTCTCTCTCTTCGTTGTAATTCATGACGTGTTTCTTAATCTTGGAAGAGTCCACCCAGGTGACAAAGTCCTCCATTGTCCTGGTGACCAAGAAGGCTGGATCGGTCACCACTTCGGGCCCCACACGGACATGGCCCTGCTCTATGAAGGTAATGGCGCTCTTCAAGTTCTGGGCCATCCTTAGCTTCACCACGATGGAGGGCAGGCGTCTCCTGCAGAAAGACGAGGCGGACACCATGTCACAGAGATGGAGGCCCTGCTTGGTGGGGATGAGGCCCATGGCGTACAACTTCTCCAGCAGCTTGGAGGTACACTGGGCCCGGAATGGATCCTTCTCATCCAGGTCTTTAATCTTGCGGCCCAGCTCCCGCACATGGCGGCTCAGCTTATTGTAGGCGGTGTAGTCCTCCCTGCGGTCCAGGTGGTACTTCCTCAGCACCTTCACCTCGTGCAGGTTGTTATCCACCTCCCAGTTGATAAAGTCCACCTTTTTGAGCAGCTTCTGCTCATGGTATTTCAATTTGCGCACCATTTCTCAAGACAACTTCACAACACCGGCTCTCAGTACACTTCCCACGTGTGACCACCGATATGCTGCACTACAACCATGGGACTTCCGCCACACCTCCCAGAATGCCTTGCTGTCTGCAACTCTTAGGAAACGCCCCACGTGTAACCTACGCTATAGCCAAAAGAAACTTCCGCCACACCTTCCAGTATGCTTTGCTGTATGCAACTCCGAGACTTCCCACGTGTAACCTTGCGCCACACCTCCCAGCATGCTTTGCTGCCTGCAGCTTTGTGGCGACGTCCCACGTGTAACCTCCGCTATACCCACGGCAAACCGCCACCGCACTTCCCGGAATCCTTTGCAGTCTTCATCACTGGCTAGACTTTCCACATATTCTCATCGTCACACTATAAGTATAAATCACTTCCGCCACACTTCCCAGATTCCTTTGCTGCCGGTAGTGTCAACGACAGAGTAACACGAGTGAAGCAGTTCTGTCTCTAGGTGCCTGCCTCAGAGCATAGGGAAGTAGCCATTTTGTCGAAGACCTACTTAGGCTCTGGCGTAGCAATTGGCCCCAATAAAATGGCACTCATAGTGGAGACAGAAAACTAAAAGAAGACGTTATATACTGCTATGACAGATAACAACGTATAAGGAGGTCACTTCCTAGTCGTTCGTTGACCGAACTGGTTGAGTTAACCTGTGAGCCGCCAGAGAGGTAGTAGACGGCGATATGGCGAGTTATCCGTACAGTCAGGTGAGAGCAGACTCTAATGAGGGGTTGGTAATAATATACACCGTGACAGGGCTTGTCCAGGTACTATGACACACTGTGACATGGGGTGGGGTGAGGCATGATAGCCTGAGAAGCCTCTGAATGATGATCAGTAAACTCCAGCAGATGTTCAGAAGTCTGACAACACTTAAAATGTATGTAAGACCCAAAATAGAAATGTAAAATGTGCCCCCACCTTTTGTTCTGTTAAATATACCATTGAAAGGGTTTGATCATTTACAAAATATCTGCTGATTCTGGCAGAAATCTAGTGAACTGATAACTTCCTGTGCTGAGAGAATTCCATTGTTCCCAGGGAGCTCAGAACTACAGAACCACGCCCCTCTGCGTTGTGTAGAACAAAAGGGGCGGGGCTCTGTAGTTTCATCTTGTTTCTAGTCCCTGGATACAGTATGGCATGTAAGGCCTTGTGCATATGGGGCATACTATAGCGTATGCCTGTGTGACGGCTGGCTTTGCCCACGTGGGGATGTACAGGTGTTCCATGCAGGCAATCTCATTCATATCAGTTGGGATCAGGGCTGCTGTTAGAAACCACGGGGCCCCCATACAGCCAACCTAACAGGGCCCCCTTAAATGAAAAACACACAGTTTACTATGCTTCAGTTATGAATGAGCACCATGAGAGATCGGTACCAATCACTTATTGTGTTCATTCAGAAAAGGAAGGGGCTGGTAAATGTGACATATTCAACTCTCCATCCTGAAGGATTCTAGTGTGTGCTTGCAGCTGCTGGTGGGAAGGAGAGGAGGGAATCCGACATCACTGCTGGGGTGGGGGCACACAGGGGGCCTGGGGAGCAGGCGGAAATGTATGATGCACAGGGAGGGTGATAGGTGCAGCAGAGGGGAAAATTCCTGGAACCTGTCCCCTGTATGGTTCCAGCTGCAGCAGCTGAAAGCCAGCAGGAGGGGAGGAGGAGGAGGAGAAGAAGAAGTCAGCTTTCAGCTGCTGCAGAGGGAGCCATACAATGTATCGGTTCCAGCAATTGCTCCCCCGCCGTGCTGATTACCCTCCCTGCTTACATCTGATTCACCCCTGCTGGCCTGGGCCCTGTACAGGAGGACTGGTGGTACCCCCTTATCCACAGTCCTGGTTGGGATGCACAGACACAACCACTGCTCCCAACTTGACACCAGTGTGGGTGCATGGTTCCAAACACCCTGCCTGCTTTCCGGGCCGTGTACGTACATGATTGCTGAACTGAGAGCAGTGGTTGTGTCTGTGCAGCCGCTGCGCCCCGATTGCCATGAGTAGGACTGCCTCCACGGGTGTGCATGAGACGTCTGTGCATCCTTGTGTGGGCAAACACAGCCCTCGCACAGGTGTATGCTGCAGTACATCAGTGTGAATGATGGTTCACACTGAATGCAACTTTGACATCACGCTGCTTAGTAGTGCAATTTCAAAGCTGTAGATCAGTGCGATTTGTACCTCCGATTTCACTGTGGCTTGCAAGTAGCATAATCGTGAAGAAACACCAAACGATGGGACTTTATAGCGATTCTAAAGGTTCTTTACTTTTTTTTTGTTAAATTACCAACATTTCTATATTTACCTGCTGTGTGCAGTGGTTTTGCACAGAGCAGCCTAGATACTCCTCTTCTCTGGTCCCCCCCCCCCCCCCCCAGGCTCTCCTGGCCCCTCCCTCCTGTTGGGGTCCCCCACAGCAAGAAACGTGCTATGGGGGCGCTTGCTTTTCTGTGTGTCCATTGGCACATGGTGCCACGGCTTTGCCCCACCCCTTACTCTTGTCATTGGCGAACTGGCTGTGATTGACAGCAGCAGGAGCCAATGGCTCCCGCCTGCTGTTTCAGCCAATAAGGAGGCAGAGACCTGGGACAGCTGAGGCTGTCGTTCACATTGATGGATCGCGATGAGGCTCAGGTAAGTATTGAGGGGGCTGGGGGCACTGCTGCACACAGATGATTTTTTACTTTCATGCATAGAATGCATGAAGGTTAAAAAACCTCAGGCCTTTACAACCACTTTAAATACCCCTCTAAGGGTCAAACAATGCAATGCAAGTAGCAATGAAATTAGCAAAAAAAGTAGTGCAGGAACTATTTTTGAAATTTAGCTACTTCAGATCGCACTGAGTAGGACAGTGCAATAGAAATACATTAGATGCAGCTTCAGATACAATTTGTAAATCTCATGTCGCACCGGTGTCAACCATGGCTAAGTATTTTCCTAGGACAGGAAATATGTTACTAACAGGATCACCAAGTGAAAATAAAGGGACAAAAAAAAAAACGTTGAAAAAGAAAACTAGTGCAGCCAATAAAACTAAGGGCTGGCAGGCTTTAAATATGTTAGTTTTGATCTTATGCTTTAAGGCTACTTTCATACTGATCCGCTGCAAAAATGTGTAAGCCTTTTTGCCGCGTTTTTTTAAAGGACACGCGACTTAAAACTGCAACAAACCCGATTCGCAGAGGTGTTTTTCAGGTGTTTTCAATTGATTTCAATGGGAAGAGGCGTTTTTGGGGCGTCTTTTTAACTCCCCAAACATGTCCCAAAGATGCTGCAAGCAGGAGCTTTTACACTGCACCGCAAGCGCAACGCCTCAGTGTGAAAACATACATCGATAGACATTCACATACATAGGGAAGCAGTTTTCAGGCACTTTTTTTTAAATGCTCCTCAGTGTGAAAGTAGCCTAAAGTAGAACTAAACCCTCCTATCCTTTGCAGCCATAGGAGCTGCCATCTTAGTCTCTGTTTGATCTTCAACTGCCATGGTGCTGTACATGTGATCAGTTGTGCCATAGCCTCTGGCAACAATGAGACAATGATAAATCATTTCTGAGCTTTTTCCACCTTTAATGTGACCTATAAATGGAAAAACTAACTGAAATATTTTAAGGGGGGGAAGTAAACATAAAAAAATAAAAAAATGTGGTTGCATAAGTGTGCAATTTCTTATAACTGAGGATGTAGCTGTGTTCAGATTTAAGCAATCACATCCAAATTAATGTTAAATAGGAGTCAGTACACACCTGCCATGCCATCGTTTAAAGTGCCTCTGATTGACCCCAAATAAAGTTCAGCTGTTCTAGTAGGTCTTTCTTGACATTTTCTTAGTCACATTCTACAGCAAAAGCCATGGTCCGCAGAGAGCTTCCAAAGCATCAGAGGGATATCACTGTTAAAAGTTATCAGTCAGGAGAAGGGTACAAAAGAATTTCCAAGGCAGTAGATATACCATGGAACTCAGTGAAGACAGTCATCATCAAGTGGAGAAAACTGGTCTGGGAGGCTGCCAAGAGGTCTACAGCAACATTAAAGGAGCTGCAGGAATATCTGGCAAGTACTGGTTGTGTGGTACATGTGACAACAATCTCTCATATTCTTCGTATGTCTGGGCTATGGGGTAGAGTGGCAAGACAGAAGCCTTTTCTTATGAAGAAAAACATCCAAGCCCGGCTAAATTTTGGAAAAACACATCTGAAGTTTCTCAAAAGCATGTGGGAAAATGTGTTATGGTCTGATGAAACCAAGGTTGAAACTTTTGGCTATAATTCCAAAAGATATGTTTGGCACAAAAACTACACTGCACATCTTCAAAAGAACACCATACCCACAGTGAAGCATGGTGGTGGATGCATCATGCTTTGGTGCTGTTTTTCTTCAGCTGGAACTGGGGCCTTAGTGAAGGAAGAGGAAATTGTGTGAACAGTTCCAAATACCAGTCAATATTGGCAGAAAACCTTCAGGCTTCTGCTAGGAAGCTGAACATGAAGCGGAACTTCCTCTTTGAGCATAACAACCCAAAGCATACATCCAAATCAACAAAGGAATGGCTTCACCAGAAGAAGATGAACGTTTTGGAATGGCCCAGCCAGAGCCCAGACCTGAATCTGATCGAAAATCTGTGGGTGATCTGAAGAGGGCTGTGCACAGGAGATGCCTTCATAATCTGACAGATATGGAGTATTTTTGCAAGGAAGAGTGGGCAAATATTGTCAGGTCAGGATGTGCCATGCTGATAGACTTATACCCAAAAAGACTGAGTGCTGGAATAAAATCAAAAGGTGCTTCAACAAAGTATTAGTTTGAGGGTGTGCACACTGATGCAACCATATTATTTTAGTTTTTTATTTTTACTTTCCTCCACCTAAAAGATTTCAGTATGTTATTCAACTGAGTTGTACAGTTTATAGTTTACATTTAAGGCTCCATGCACACTGGGTGTTTTGATAACGCTGATAAAGTTAGCTGTGTAAAGTCTCGTTAAAAATGTGAGTTTTTCATCTTTTTTTAGCGTTTTTCATTAGCATTTAGTGAAGTTCTGCCACGTTTGCGTTTTTTAATGAGGTTTTTTTTTTGGTCAAAAAAAGTCCCAAGAACATCATTAGAGCGGCTTTACAGCTAAAAAAAACTCCTCTAGAAACCCACTAGTCCTGGGTTTTTTTTTAGCCAAAAAATGTTGATTACAGTCTATGTGTGCATGGACACATAGGATAACATGCTGGGGGCTTTACTAGCTGTAGAAAAAACGTAAAAGCCAAAAAAAAAAAAAAAAAACAGTTGCTGTAAAAAGGTCAAGTATGCATGAGGGCTAAAGGTGGAAAAAGTTCTGAAATGATTTATCTTTGTCTCATTTTTTTACATCACAGGAACCTGACATTTTAACAGGGGTGTGTAGACTTTTCATATCCACTGCATCTCTTTCGTTTACTATTTATATTTTTGCTTGACATCATGGGTATAGCTAATACAATACCTCCGACACTAGTTCTTCAGATCTCTGATTCTGCACCTGCAAAGTTGTTTGCAGTCACTCTGCCCGCCCCTCCTGTCCTCATGTCCAATCACGGAAAACTTTTATTATGTGAACCCATTCACAAAATATCAGGTATTCTGTGAATAGATAGCATAGTGAGGGGTGGGCAGCGCAGCTGTGTAGGAGAGACCATTGCTTCTCTGAGTGAAGTTAGTATAGTGATAGCTGTACTCAAGGCACACCTTGTTGGATGTACCCCCATAATTGAGCATAGATTTTTTTTTTAAACACAAAAGTGTTTTAATTCCTGGAGTTCTGCTTTTACTTTTAACAATGATAGTAGCTTTATGTAATAAACTAAATAATCAGCAAGTTTACTTTCATGCCTTGTGTGTATATATATATATATATATATATATATGTACACGCACACACAGTATCTCACAGAAGTAAGTTCACCCCTCACATTTTTGTAAATATTTTATTATATCTTTTCATGTGACTACACTGAAGAAATGACACTTTGCTGCAATGTAAAGTAGTGAATGTATAGCTTGTATAACAGTGTAAATTTGCTTTCCCCGCAAAATAACTCAACACACAGCCATTAATGTCTAAACCGCTGGCAACAAAAGTAAGTACACCCCTAAGTGAAAATGTCCAAATTGGGCCCAAAGTGTCAATATTTTGTGTGGCCACCATTATTTTCCAGCGCTGCCTTAACCCTCTTGGGTATGGAGTTCACCAGAGCTTCACAGGTTGCCACTGGGGTCCTCGTCCACTCCTCCACAACGACATCACAGAGCTGGTGGATGTTAGATACCTTGCACTCCTCCACCTTCCATTTGAGGATGCCCCACAGATGCTCAATAGGGTTTAGTCTGGAGACATCCTTGGCCAGTCCATCACCTTTACCGTCAGCTTCTTTAGCAAGGCAGTGGTCGTCTTGGAGGTGTGTTTGGGGTCCTTATCATGTTGGAATACTGCCCTGTGGCCCAGTCTCTGAAGGGAGGGGATCATGCTCTGCTTCAGTATGTCACAGTACATGTTGGCATTCATGGTTCCCTCAATGAACTGTAGATCCCCAGTGCTGGCAGCACTCATGCAGCCCCAGACCATGACACTCCCACCACAATGCTTGACTGTAGGCAAGACACACTTGTCTTTGTACTTCTCACCTGGTTGCCGCCACACATGCTTGACACCATCTGAACCAAATAAGTTTATCTTTGTCTCATCAGACCACAGGACATGATTCCAGTAATCCAAGTCCTTAGTCTGCTTGTCTTCAGCAAACTGTTTGCGGGCTTTCTTGTGCATCTTTAGAAGAGGCTTCCTTCTGGAATGACAGCCATGCAGGCCAACTTAATGCAGTGTGCGGCGTATGGTCTGAGCACTGACAGGCTGACCCCACCACCCCTTCAACCTCTGTAGCAATGCTGGCAGCACTCATACGTCTATTTCCCAAAGACAACCTCTGGATATGATGCTGAGCACGTGCACTCAACTGCTTTGGTTGACCATGGTGAACCTGTTCTGAGTGGAACCTGTCCTGTTAAACCGCGGTATGGTCTTGGCACTGTCCTGCAGCTCCGTTTCAGGGTCTTGCCAATCTTCTTATAGCCTAGGCCATCTTTACGTAGAGCAACAATTCTTTTTTTCAGATCCTCAGAGAGTTCTTTGCCGTGAGGTGCAATGTTGAACTTCCAGTGACCAGTATGAGAGAGTGAGAGCGATAACACCAAATTTAACACACTTGCTCCCCATTCACACCTGAGACCTTGTAACACTAACGAGTCACATGACACCAAGGAGGGAAAATGGCTAATTGGGCTCAATTTAAACATTTTCACTAAGGGGTGTACTCACTTTTGTTGCCAGCAGTGTAGATATTAATGCTGTGCTGTGTGTTATTTTGAGGGGACAGCAAATTTACACTGTTATACAAGCTGTACACTCACTACGTCACATTGTAGCAAAGTGTCATTTCTTCAGTGTTGTCACATGAAAAGATAGAACAAAATATTTATAAAAATGTGAAGGGGGTGTACTCACTTCTGGGAGATACTGTGTGTGTGTGTGTATGTATGTATGTATGTATGTATATATATATATATATATATATATATATATATATATATATATATATATATATATATATATATATATATATATATAAAAATCTTGTAAATTGGTTTATTTCCACTGGGTGGCACTGTTGTATTTCCATTTTGGAGCCTTTATCATTACTCTAGTCTAGCTCACCAACTTCATAAAAAACAAATAATACAAGTGTGACAAAATGATCTTTTTGTACTGGCATATTTTGCTTTATATTTGTAAAATATTTTTCTTGTAGTGGTAGATAATTGTCCACATACAATGTAATCTTGGTAATTTGATAGTACCTAGTATAGAATTTCACTACACATTTGCAAAAGCTTAATTTATCTCAGTCTGTATATTTCATGGCTTTACAGGGATACCATGGCTCTGGAGGACAAGCTCCTGGGGCGCCTCAAGGTGGCTATCATCATGGACAACAATATGGAGGAGGTGGCCCTACTGGCCAGCCTGCATATGGCGGTTCTGCACCAGGTGCACCATATGGACCTCCTCAAGGTGGTGGTGGTTATGGACAGCCCATGCCGGGGGGTACAGCACCAGGGGGACCAGGAGGTACTTATGGAAGCCATGCTCCTGGGGGACCTTATGGTGTACCGGGATCCAATCCTTATGGAGCTCCTCAGCAAGGCCAGTATGGACAAGCTTCTCAAGGTAAGTTTGAGGTAGGTCTTCAGAGTCTAGTAGGTCTGATAAATAATTAGAATGACAAAAAATTCTGTCAAGGTTTTATTACTGTCTGTGACTCTGACGGGGACATTTCCCATCACTTTTAGGTTAGGTAGCCTCAGACAGTAATAATAATCGAGAAAAACTTGAACCCTTCCCATTTTAAATAAAAATGTGTTGTGGGCACAAAGTGTGTATCCTCTGGGGAGATTTTCCATAATTTCCTGGCCTTTCTGGAAGTTTGAGTGGATCTCACAAATGGCTATCTAGACTGCAAATCAAAACATAAGAGAGGTTTTCTTTTTTTTTTCCCTGTCCAAAGCTTAGAAAATCATTTTGGCCAGCATTGGGCTTGATGTTTATGTTTTTGCTCTTGAATAGCGCTTTTTACTTTTTTCCTAGGAAAATATACCACAAGGCGTTAACGCAGAAGCTTTTTCCTGGTTCCAGACTGTGGACACTGACAGGAGTGGGTACATAACATTAAAAGAGCTCAAACAAGCACTGGTTAACTCAAACTGGTCAACATTTAATGATGAAACCTGTATCATGATGCTAAGTAAGTATTTATCTGCTAAGTGTTTTTGTGCTTGCTTTTTAATTAAAATCTGGGTTTATATGTTTTTAAGACAAAAGTTTGCAAAACACACACTAAATGAACAGGAAATATGCAAGTTGTTTATCACAATACATGCCTAACAATTTTAAAGGTAAAAACAATAGACATATGAAGTTCTGCTTTTGAACACAATTAAACTTAACATGATAAATAAATATAATAAGTCAAGGTTTTTCCTTCATCTCTCCATGACAGCTTGGTTAGCACATGGTATGCTGTTTTCCATACATCAACCAGTAGATTTGCAGGGTCATGTATTTTTATACCTTGGGAATGCACACCTTACTGCATAGGGAAACGTTCATGCAGGGAACCACTTTCCGCTGAGGGTAAACATGAGCCAGCAGTTACCTACAGCAGTCCAGATCAGCTCTTACAACAGTACAGCTCTCTGAGAAGGGATAGCCCACTGGCAAATAACAAATAAATAACAGAATTATGTAACTTAAAGCTGTCATCAATTAATTCTGGAAAACTGAGGGCTGTGAACCACAAAATCAGCTTATGGCTAGACTTGCAGAGGTGTGGGGTTGGGCAATTAGGTGAACATTTTATGAATTGCAAACTTAGACCAATCAGTATAATCCACACTTCATATGAATCAAAAATGGCACATCTCAGCACTATCAAATCAAATTTTTTTTTTTGCATTAAAAAACAATTCTTTATGTGATCTAACACCTAGTCAAAGATCACATGGTTGCTGTCTACCATCATGCCATTAAAAAGTGCAGAATATGTGCCGTTTTCGTCAAACAGTCCATGTCTGGTAGACAGGGTCATCAAGGCACAACTGTCGAGCTTGCTCACCTCTATTTTTTTATGCACTTTTCATAGGGATAAATGGTAATGCATAAAAACACAGAAGTGGGAATGTAGTTTTATGGATGCTGCCTGGTATATGTAGAATTGCAAATTGCGTTTAAATACATGTTTTTTAGGATTTTGACATACTTTAATGTTGTTTTTCAGATATGTTTGATAGGGGGCAGTCTGGCAAGATTGATCTGTTTGGATTTTCGGCTCTGTGGACATACATTCAGCAGTGGAAAAGCCTGTTCCAGCAGTATGACCGAGACAGGTCTGGCTGTATTAGTCTTCAAGAACTGCACCAAGGTAAATACTATCAGTACTAATAAAATATTACTCATGTAAAACCTATGTATTGAAATGTGGATCCTTGTGAGATGAGATGATTTATGTATATTTGTAATTGCGTTTCTTGGAAGACATTTATAAAATTTAATGACACTGAAAATAAAATATTACATTAGAAGAAAAGTGTTTGGTAGAAAAATCTCTTCATTTTTTTTTACATTAGGCATGCTACATATATTCAAAAAACCTCACTGAAGTGCACAGGGCATATGTAGCATGCGCTGCCTGCTACCTTCCCCCAAATATACTGCTTTTACTGCAAATTTTTTGGCTGTACAAATGGCAGCTGAAAGTTGATTTTAAGTACAGCAGCCAGCGCTGGCCACTGCTGTCAAAAATTTACCTTCTGATCAATGTTCGTAAACCATTTTTATTGGCATGATTCAGAGATACAAAGTAAGATAATAATGTTACTTTGTATTTATTCTGTTTCATTCATCTGCAGATCAGTGGTGTGAGCTATAATTTTTTTCTAACTATTTCTGTTTCTTAAAACATTAACCCCTTCACACCTAAGGGTAAAACAAATCTTAAGGCCTAAGTAAAATTTTACAACTTTGACGTGTTGGTAAAACCGTACATATCATCACAACTACTTTGTACATCCAGGTGGATTATATTGTGTTCTTTTCAGGACAAATTGGGTTTTCATTTGGTGTAAATGGTAATGGATATTTCCTTTAGGTTTTTTTTTTTTTTATTTATTTATTATTAAAGGAAAACTGGCCCAAAATAGTAAAAAAAAAAAATAATTGTTTTAATTTAGCTATGTGTTTCTTGTTACTACCATAACCTACCACCAAAGAACAACCCAAAATAAAATTTCCAGCTCTTGAGGATCGCAGCGACACCATATACGTGTATGTTATTTGTACCTGTACTACAGCCCAGAAACAATGGTGCGCATTTTGTTTTTTTTTTTTGTTTTTTTACCTAAAACACACTGACACTAACTGACACTGATACCAATTTAAAAAAAAGAAAAATCCTGGTCTTTGACCCTGACCTTGACCCAAACATTAACCCTGGCACTGAACTAGATCAAACCTTGACCTAGGTATTTTTTCTTTATTTTTTAATATTTATCTACTTCTTTTTTTTTTTTTTTTTTTTTTTTTTTTTTTTTACAAACAATTTTTTTTTTCTCTCTCTGCAGGAGGAGAGAGAGAAATGCAATGTATCTCACCTCCATTCAGAGAAGAAAAATGGGGGGGGCCTCACAGTGACTGATCACTGTGACAGTTAATCAGAAGCTATCACAGCAATCATGTGATCTAGAATCGGAAGTCCCAGGTCCCAATCGTTAGAACAGGACCCGAGGCTCTGAGTGACACCCCGGACTTTCTGCTGGGAGCACTCTGTGCGCCGAGCTCCCAGCACAAAGACAGGTACGCAAACATTATTATATTATTATTATACAGTATTTATAAAGCGTCAATAGTTCGCTCAGCGCTGTACATTACAAAGGGGGACAGAACATGTGACAGAACAACAACAATACAATGCAAAACAGGAGGGGATTGAGGGGCCTGCTCTTTCGAGCTTACAATCTAGGAGGGAGGGGATGGTGGCACAGGAGGAGATAGCTGTGGGGGATGGAGTGGTAGGAAGAGTGGAGGAGGTCGGCAAGTTAGCAGGGGGTGGGGTAGGCTTCCCTGAAGAGATGGGTTTTCAGGGTGCGCCTAAAGGAGAGGAGAGTAGGTGATAATCTGATGGGTTGGGGCAGGGAGTTCCAGAGGATGGGTGACACCCTGGAGAAGTCCTGGAGACGGGCGTGGGAGGAGGAGACCAGGGAACTAGAGAGAAGGAGGTCTTGTGAGGAGCGGAGTGTGCGTGCTGGGCGGTACTTGGATAATAGGTCAGTTATGTAGTTCGGGGCAGTATGGTGGACAGCTTTGTACGTCAGTGTTAGGATTTTGAATTTGATCCGTTGCGCAATCAGAAGCCAGTGGAGGGATTGGCAGAGGGGGGTGGCGGAAACGGAGCGGTTGGAAAGGTGAATGAGTCTGGCAGCCGTATTCAGGATCGACTGAAGCGGGGATAGCCAGCGGCGAGGCAGGCCAGTGTGGAGGGAGTTGCAGTAGTCGAGTCGTGATATGATGAGGGAGTGGATGAGCTGTTTAGTGGTTTCTGGGGTTAGGAACGTGCGGATTTTGGCCATGTTGCGGAGGTGGAGTCTGCACGAGTTTGTTAAAGATTGGACTTGGGGCTGGAAGGATAGGTTGGAGTCCAGAATGACACCAAGTACTCTGGCCTGCGGGGCGGGTTTGATGGTGGCGTTGTTGGATGTGATGGAGAAGTCAATGGGGGGTGGTGTCCGGGCTGGGGGGAAGACAAGAAACTCGGTTTTGGAGAGGTTCAGTTTTAAGGAAGTGGAGCGACATCCAGTCTGACATGTCGCTCAGTAGGTGTGTGATTCGGGCGGAGACCGAGGGGTGAGGTGGGGGGTTGAGAGATTTGTGTGTCGTCGGCATAGAGGTGGTAGTTGAAGCCGTGAGAGTGTATGAGTTGGCCAAGGGAGGAGGTGTAGATGGAGAAGAGAAGGGGCCCGAGGACAGAGCCTTGAGGGACCCCAACAGAGAGGGGGAGCAAGGGGGAGGTGGTAGCATTATAGGTAACGCTGAAAGAGCATTGTGACAGGTAGAATGAGAGCCAGGAGAGAGCAGAATCTCTGAGGCCGAGAAGGTGTAGTTTTTTGAGGAGGAGGGGGTGGTCGACTGTGTCGAAGGCCGCAGAGAGGTCAAGGAGTAGGAGCACTGAATAGTGGCCATTAGCTTTGGTGGTTAGCAGGTCGTTGGAGAGTTTGAGTAAGGCAGTTTCAGTGGAGTGTAGGGGACGGAAGCCGGACTGTAGGGGATCGAGGAGGTTGTTGTCGTTGAGGTGAGAGCATAGGCGGGTGTAGACTAGGCGCTCAAGGAGTTTAGATGTAAATGGAAGCAGGGAGATGGGTCTGAGGTTGTTCGGGTCATTGGGGTCCAGGGAGGGCTTTTTAAGTATGGGGGTGATGTGTGCATGTTTCAGAGGGGAGGGGAAAGTGCCGGAGGAGAGGGAGAGATTGAAGATGTGGGGGAGGGAGCATAGGATGGAGGGGGAGGGAGGTCGTAGGAGTTGTGAGGGGATAGGGTCGAGGGGGCAGGTGGTGAGGCGGGCATCAGAGAGTATCTTGGAGACTTCCTCGATGGTAGTAAGGTCAAAGATGCGGAGTATTGGGGGAGCTTCAGTATGAGGAATGTAGGGTGGGGTGGAAGTGGAGGTCAGAGCAGTGGTGGGGCCGTGGGAGAGGGGTGATGAGGGGGTAGCTGAGTGAGGGGGAACGGGGTTGGAAGGAGTTTGAGCAGCGACGAAGTCCCTGCGGGTTATGTCGAGGGGGGATGAGGGGGTAGCTGTGTGAGAGGGGACGGGTTGAGAGGGCGTGTGAGTTGTGGCGATGTCCTTGTGAATTGTGTCAATCTTCTTTTTGAAGTGATTGGCAATCTCAAGGGCGGTGAGTGAGGTGCTGGGTAGAGGTGGGGGTGGAGAGGGTAGAGAGTTGAAGGTGGAGAAGAGTCGGCGAGGATTGGAGGAGAGGGCCTTGATGAGGGTCAGGAAGTAGGCTTGTTTGGCTGCGTGGTGGGAGGAGGTGTAGGTGTGGAAGGCAGATTTGTAGCGGGTGAAGGCTTGTTGGAATTTGGTTTTGCGCCATAGTCGCTCCAGGGCACGACTGTGTCGTTTGAGGATTTTGGTGTGATCAGTCTGCCAGGGCTGGAGCGGTCAGGGTCTGATGTTGCGTGTGGTTAAAGGCGCTAGTGAGTCAAGGGCTGTTGCCAGTGCGTTGTTGTGGGCAGTCATAGCCAAGTCGGGGCAGGACAGGGGGAGGATGCTGTCATGAGTTGATCAGCTGCAGAGTAGAGGGAGGCAGGGTTAAGGTTGCGGAGGTAACGACTGGTAGTAGTGTGACATTTGGAGGGGTAGGCATTGGAGGACGAGGAGATAGAGAAGGTAATCAGGTTGTGGTCAGAGAGAGGGAAGGGGGTGTTAGTGAGGTTGTGGGGAGCGCAGCAGTTGGAGAAGACAAGATTAAGGATATTACTGTTGGAGTGGGTGGTGGATTGTATGCACTGTGCAAGTGCAAAGGAGGAGGTTAAGTGGAGGAGATGGGATGTGTCTGGGTTGTCGAGGTTGACAGGGATGTTGAAATCCCCAAGGATGATGGTGGGTAGCTCAGAGGAGAGGAAGAAGGGTAGCCAGGAGGAAAAGTCATCCAGGAAGCGGGATATGGATCCAGGAGGCCGGATATGGATCCAGGAGGCCGGTATATCACGGAAAAAAAGCCCAGTTCTGTAAGGCCGCATATTTGTGTTACGTTGGCGTCAAGGGGTTAAAGTACAACCATAGACTCCTGTTTGACAATCTAAACAAATCCAGTTACTATGTGATGGTTAAGCCTCATAAAGTAAACAAAACTTCCCCGACTGAGCCAAATCCTACTATATTTATATGAATGCTCCCATACACTGAAACTCACAATAGGGGGGAAGGGGGTCAGCAAGTGCTGTCAATCTAGAAAGCTCTTGGCAGGACTAAATACTACAAACTTGTGAATCAGCGGTGACAGTGCTGACAGCCATGCCTCTGCTACATTTTTTTTATCCCACTTCAGTGCAAGCAGGCAATAGCCTACATAAAAGTGGACTCTACTCTGAATTCAGGAGCAGTGAAACATTGTTGTCACACAGTGACAGAAAGCTTCACTAGGTGGACTTCTCTGACAGGATCATCATATGTTTGTGGGGCTTTGCATGGAGATTAAGAGAAAACCATAAGTGCCAATGTGCTCAAAATTAGGCACTGCAGCTTATATTTATTTTTCAGTTTGAGTTCATAGATCTTATCTATCGGTTTGAGGACACTGGTTGTGCTACAGACGTCCTGTCATTTAGCCTCATTAGCACAATCCCTCCCCTACCCCCACTTGCCAG